AAAAAAAAAAAAAAAAGTTCCCGATTTCTAATTCTTATTTTAAACGGAAGTAAATACAGAAATCTGTTTGAAAGCAGGTTTGAAAGCATGATTTTCATTGATTATGTTTCACTTCCGGAAAACTGCGCATGCGCCAAAAATGGATTATGCCAGAGCCCTCATTCTTTGACGCAGGCCGAAAGAAACGCAGGCTCTGGGTACGAGATTGGCACTTGCAACGCCACCCACCCTCTCTTCATCTCTGTCCTTTGTCACCTGGTCCTTCGTCCTCCCTTCTCAACTTTTTGAGATGTGGCAATTTACTCAAAAGTCTTTTTTTATCCCTTCAAAATGACTCTTTTTTCGTATTAATAATACGTTTGGTACGAAAATGGAGGGAGATGACGAAAATTCACATTGTTTGATATGCTCTTCGAAGACTTACCGAGAAAAACGCGCAGTTGTATGGTGCGAAGAAGTGACTACAATCGGAAAGATTTTAACAGTTTTTTTGGAGATTGAAATAAAAAATTATATTGAAAATAAAAACTCTGTCTTCTGCTGTATCTCGTGCAAGAGAAAACTGATAACCATCAACTGCAGCAAAGTTCAAGAATTACGCCGTATATTCGATATGAAGCACACACGGAAAACCAGGGCAAAGAAAAAAGACCTCGTGAGACAGAGCATGTACCATTACTACCTGCGAAGAAAAAAAACAGTTTTTCCGGTAAAAACATCATTTAGTTCAGCTATTATTCAAAAGAAAAAACCCCAAATCATCTGTTTATTTTAAAATAGATGGTCAATGGACGAAAATAACCGTGAAAACTCTATCGTGACTCCAATTCCAATATCGGCATCGACGGCTCGCTTACCTCGTACACAGTATCGGAAAATGTATCAGAAATTGTCCGGATAGCAAGCCATGGCAGCACAGACGAGATTATCAAGTATATTTTGCATCATAAAGAACTGAACGCTTGAGTTATTTCTAACCTAATAGAGTTATATCTGTTGATAAGCAATGCGAAGACCTTTGCAGTTTGCGAAATGAGTCGAGACTTCAACAGAAAGACATGGTAAATTTTGACCCAGACGTCTTCTTAAACGTGGAAGTTAAACAAAGATGCCAACTACTCTACGATTTGGCACACACTGTTGCATGCCCGGACAAAGCAAGTCAAAGAAATGTCTGCAAAACAAACGCCTGCGATCGCCATGGCCATAGCCATCTTGTTCAAAATGAGGAGCAAAAACTGTATGCAGATCATCAACAGCCTAAGAAAACTGCAGTGCAGGACTTGCATCTTTTCTTTCTTGAGAATGAAGTTTAATTTACATTTCTCTAGCGATGCACAAGCAGCTTCGAGTAATGAATTAGAGTAGTAATTGCCAAATCTTTCGAGCATTTCTCGACGCCAGAAAGAACAGCCACCCGCCATTTTTATTTCGTGCGAAAAGCATAGGTAGAGGGTATGTCCAATATTGCTCAATGGTCACATCCCGAAAACGGGATGTGACTGACGCATGCGCAGTCATTTTCCCTGGACCCACTTTTATCGCGTCCGTTGACTCTCGATCCAGATCTTCTCATATTTTTATCGTGTGTGGTGGGTCCAGTTCTGGACTAGGCTATCAGTCGATTACTGACAGCGCCCAGTTACTTAATATTCATTAGGATTGGGACATAGTACCGCCCAATCGCTACCTAGACTACAAAATCTAAGCATAAAAATTGTAGCCACAAATCCTGTTGCTTCTTTTTCCTATCTATCGAAATGTCAATCAACATTTGCCGATCTTCCATTATCTTTGACACTTCGGGTTCTTGTTGTTTTCCTATTTCTATCTTATGTCAGACTCTCTGGCATTCACTGAGCCACAAATGGTTTTTCTCTACTTATGGATTAATTATCATTGATTCCTTATTTACAATTGCACGCAAAAGGACTGTTGCTGCGTGTGTCTACCCCAAACTTGTTGCACGCAACGTTGCATGCGACAAACCGAAAGTTGAATCGCTATCTACTCTTGCAACATTGCGCGCAACAAATTTCATCGTGAACATGGCTGCAACATTACCTGCAACATTTGAAAAATTTCCAGCCAATCAGCTTGCACCAAATTTATAATTCCTGACCAAACATCTTACATAGCAGGCTGACACAAGCGATGTTAAGTGATTTTGTTGCAATGTGTGTCACTCCGATTCAAAGTTGTTGCTTACAATGTTGCGTGTAATGTTGCACCGTGTGTCAGGCCACTATTAAAATACAGGAATTTTGTATTTTCTTTTAGAGAACCCATTAAAGGTGAATAAATAAAAACAACAAAATTTCAGTATGTATAAAATGAATAAATTACAGCATGGAAAGCGCTTTCGCTGCGCTTACTCGTTCGATTTCAGATACTGCACCAACTCGTGCGAAAATCCCGTACGCGCGCGCTTTCCATGAAGTAATCTCTATATTTGTACTGCGGTTGTTTTGTATCAAATTGAGCCGATCCTCGCAGTATATGAAGCAACTTATGCAGCTGCAAATTGAAAGACGGAATATCTCTATTACAAAACAATGCGATGCATATTTTAAAATGTTACTTCACGGTTTGGCCTTTATCAGAAAAACTAAAAACAAAACTGAAGCAAATGGAAAAGCTACAGGATATTATGTAAAGTAACGGTGTGTGTCAAACTTTGCATACGTGTATGTAATATTGAATTCTTTTAATAGAAAAAGGAAATCGAAAAGCCAAGAGCGTCTGCTCTGAAATAAAACCTGTTTTGGGGAATTTCAATAATTTTTACGACTGAACCGATTTTTAGGGGCTAGACAACGAGAGATAAAACTGTTTATTTTTTCAATAGCCTATAATACTCTGTCAGGAACCCGTCTTTAATAGTTAGACAACAATGCATCGGGAAAATCAAAAGGCTTCGCTCTCTTGAATCCTCTGTGACTTCGAAGTATATATCTCAGACATGCAGAGAACTTAATTAAATTTATGAGAAAATCTAGTGATGTAAAATTACGACTCGTAGACAATAGTTGTAAACCTTGTTATCGTCCATTGTTGAGTTCCTATCAACAGTAAATGAATGGAATTTTTTTCATTAGCTAGTACTGACTACTACAGCTTTTCATCGTTCTTCATCAAGTCACAGGACAGTGGCAGCTGTATTTTTACATTATTTGTCTTTATTTCCTCAACTATGAGCTATTCAACGCTTTTAATTGTACACCTCACTTTAAAAAACCACATTATTTGCTTCTATTGACTCATCTATACATGGGCAGCCAATTATAAGCAGGAACAAGATGACAATCAAATGGTTTTCCTGTTAAAACATCGCCAAAGCCTCGATCAACATGTCAATCACATCTTGGGATTTCCTTTTGAGAAAGAAAAGGTATAACAAGTCGGTGTGTACATTTGACTAAAACTGAAATTGTAAAAGTAGGCTTAACTGAGTTTTGTTTGGAGGCGTTACATGGTCGAACCTTTTCCCATCGTGTTGCGTCAAATCATGAGTTTGCCGCCATTCCGAAACTTTTCTACCAATTTAACGAATGAAGCAAATTCGGAAAGCGATTTGCTGAGTCTAAACTCAATCATGGGAGTTTTTTTCCTAATTTTCTACATTTCAGTATCTCTGACATCCTTTGTTGGGAATTCTCTTGTCTTGTTGATTTGCTGCAGAAGTCTTCGAAGGAAGCAAAGGAGCGACTCTACAAGAGAGCACTTTTTTAGTCTTTATATCGCTAATTTGGCATTTTCAGATTTGGTGTTCACAATGTTGACTTTTTTCGATGCTCTGTACGCTATGCAAGGAGAATGGAAGACGGGGAACTTTACTTGCAAAATTCAAGGATTTCTTGTTGAAACCTGTTACACAGTGTCAATTCTGACCCTAGTTGCAATCAGCCGAGAACGAGTCACCACTGTTTCCAGAGCAGAGGTGAATTCGCGTGTACAGAAAGGAAAAGAACGGAAAATTGTAACAATGATACTATGGATTGTATCAATCCTTGCTTGCACTCCACTTCTTTATGCTTACTCTACTTTTTTTGATGTTAAAGACGGTGTTTGGCAATGTCGGAACAAGACTTGGGGAAATACAGGCAGACAAGTTTATTACAGCATTGCAGCTCTACCGCTATTTATTTTCCCGCTCATTTTCATGACTTACACACATCTTCGAATCAACAAGGTTTTGAAATCTCAAGTTGCGCCGAGCGAGCACATGCTTAAAGCAATACGTTCAAGGCAGAGGAAAGCTAGTAGAATGCTTGGGATGGTGACACTACTCTTCTTCGTGCTCTGGTCTCCTTTCATTCTTCTGAGAACGCTTCGATATTTTTCCTGGTATAAAGGCTTAAATCTTTGGAAGCTTTCCCAACTTTTGGTTATCGCTTCGTCAGCAACGAACCCCTTTGTTTACTGTTTTTACAGCACGCAGTTTAGAGGCTATTTTAAGACTGTTTTAACTTGCAGATGTACGAGATTTGTTGCTGGGACTACCACTGAAGGAACCACTACAATCTCAAACTCTGTCGTTAATTAAAAATAGATTAAAACGGAAGGGATTATATTAAATTAGAAGGAAATCAATCAAAAGTAGAACCGATGTTTTCCATCGTTTCGATAATTCTTGAAACCAGCCATTTGTTTGCCTGCGAACCGGAACCGAAGCGAATTTATAAATGTGGCACCGGGCCATTATTCGTGGATGAAAACCTTGATAGCGAAAAAGTTCCCATTTGAATTACCTATACAAACTATATAATATAACGGAATATTCTGGTAATAAATAAATTGTATTAAATAAAGTGAAAGTTTTGTTTGAGTCAATTTTCGGTTTTTCTCGATTAAGCCTCTCTAGGACAAAAAACGAATAAAGGTGAAATCATATGGACTACCGGGACGGTATTCCATCCACCCTACATGTTAAACAAAATAATAAAAGAAATTTTTATTTAAAAACAAAAAGAAAATCGATTCGCAAAACTGAGTACTAAACAACCAAAGATTTACACCTAAAAAAAATAAAAAATAAAAATAAAGTCCCGAATTGGAATTCATGGTGAAGCTTCAAAACATTAAATTTGGCTCACAGCTAAGCATAGACTGTACAAAGTAACGGTTTACAGTTGACATTGCGAAAACTTGGAAAGGAATATTTACTTTAGAAGAAAAATAGGCTGTGGTTAAAATCAGAAACACTACATTTTTTGGCGAACTCAGATCCAAACGATATCACATTTTCCTTGACGAACAGTAGTAGAAACAAATCGGTTTACTAAAACGAAAAGCTGCGAAGGAGATAAGCCGAATTGTTMAAATACAATTAAATTCCTAAAATGTTAGCGAAATTTCCCAATTCGTCTGACTCGCATTTTTTAATCAAGTTTTAATAAAAAAGTGCTTTTTCGATATACAATCTTCTTCTAATTACAACTTTTCAATTACAACAGAGCTCGTCAGCACTGAGCCATATTTGCGTACTACATGATCAGCCTCTTCTATGATAATTGACAGTGAGTGAACGATTTTTAGGACGGATTAATTTAGTTTCTGGTGCCGTTGTCTCTCACTGCCATCGTGGTTAGTTGGGATAACAGTATACCGTAAATTTCCATAAATAAAAGCCCTCGGCTTATATTTTAACGTTCCTTTTTGGTTTAAGGACAATAAAATCACGTGATAAGGGGCTTACTTTGCGGGGAGGCTTATTTTCGTAGGTTTATATTAGCTCAAGTCAAAAACCGGTAATCTGATTGACATACGCACCGGCAATAGTCTTATGAAGGTCGGTAATCCTTTAACAACTAACTATTTTAATAATCTAAAAACACAGATTTTAAGCAAAAATAAATGAAGGAAAGAAACGATCGGGAAAGAAAAGTAATCAAGTAAGTGGATGAATAAACGACTGATGACAGGGAAGCTCATCGTACCTTTCAGGGTTCCATATCTAGGATTAGGTACCTCTTATGGTGTCATAAATTTAAAAGTACCGTCACACAGAAGGGAACCCGGCTATATATTTTCTTGCTTCTTTTAGAAGTAACTTTGCTCTTTGTGGGTTTCCTGTGTTGKGATCGGTTTCCTACTACATAAGCTGTAATCAGATCTGCGCTGTGATCAGATCGGCGCTGTAAACTGATAGCCGATTAAATTCAAATCAATAACCGTTGGTAACGCACTCTCTAGTAAACCTATCTCTTTTTGTTTTATGATTGCAGTCTCCTATGCAGCCGCTATTAGGATTGCATGTAAATGTTTTTTGATTAACTGAAGACCACTTTCCATCTGCATATTGTAGCATTTTAAGAATCACTCACCCATTATTCCTTTTTTTAATATTTATTTATTTATTATTTATTTTGGTTGTGCTATTTTTTGGTTCTCTTTTTTTTGGTTCTGCAAATCATTGACTGTGCACATCCCCTGCATACATGGACTGTATAGCGGCTGCCAGAGGCGCTTTCAGTTCGACCCCGTTGAGCTGCGCCACTGCTGTACTTGCGGCGGTGATACGGGGAGGGGGTACTACCACCCCAACTTGGGTAGGGGTGTGCCGCCAGGACCTCAAAACCCTGACCCTATCCCAGACCTAAAATTTTGATTTTACATACCCTACCCAAGACTAAAACTAAGAATTGTACACCCTATCCCAGACTTAAAGACAGATATTATCATTTCATCGATTATTATATCGATTATCATATTATTATTTCATCGATATCTATATAATAAACAGAACATTACATGGCCGCTTGGAGATACGAATTTTATCTTCTCGTTTTCAATTTAGATATCTCACTCGTTCGCTGCGCTCACTCGTGAGATATCAATTGAACACTCGAAGATAAAATTCGTATCTCCGCGCGCCCATGTAATGATATCCTCTATATTAGCTTTAGATATGGTACCGTCTAGGAATAAAAAATCATTAGTTGCCGCGACCACCTGATAGAATTTTTTTAGTCGGGGGACGACATCGTTACGTTATCACCTAAGTACTAAAAGTCACAACGTTCATTCTCAGTCCTCTCTCTTTTATATTACCATAGAGGGATCCCTAAGGGATCCCATTTCTCTATAAAGTTATATTAGCTGAGGGTATTTGGTAAAAATGGCGCACAAATCAGCTTCTAAAATTACTGTCAAGAATGTCATAGAGCTAGCAGAATTATATAAATCTGGCAAAACTTTAAATCTAGACTCTTGGGCTGCTTTCCATCGTATTTTTCGCGTAACTTCAGCCACTGGATACATGAAAACCCCAGCGGAGCTTGAAGAGAAACTGGCCAAGTGGTTTCACAGAGAAGACGATGTTGGTCCTGAACCTGCCATAGAGAGAGCAAAACGACAAACAGTTGGTAAGGAAAAGCTTATTATTAGAAGACGTCAGAATTTCAACAGAAAATACTTTTTCTGTTTCACAACTACTGGCATGGGGAGGGGGAGGGGGGGGGGTGGTCACAAAAAATGTGGCATTTAAGGGGGGACCCCCAAAATAATAAGCTAAACAGAAAACTTTAAAAAATCATCCTGTTTTAATAGGGGGCCAAGTAAAAGAATTCAGGTTGGGAAAGGTTCATACATTTTTTCCTTACGAATTCACAAAACCCCCCCCCCCCCCCCCCCCTCCCTCCCAATGCCTGTAAAAAATAAACGGTCCCTTATATAAGTATATCTTCTGCATAGGTAAATATGAAACTGAATGATCGATACACTGAGAGGAAGACTGATTAGAGATCAATGTACTATATATTTCATACCATTGTACCTAATAGTTTACCCTGGATTCCAGAGAGGCTTTGGTTGAGTTGCGAAGCAAAGTGACGAGATGCGTCATGAGGAACCTCTCTGGCACCCAGGGTTCTAATAGTACAACTGGGGTTGAGAATTTCAAGGGGTGGGAAAGATCCAGTTGAGTACTACAACTTGATTATAATAGCAAGTAGACTCAGAGTTCTAGCCTCACACATCAATCCCACTCTCAAAAAAAAAAATCAATTATTGTACCCTGAAACAAATGGTTTCAGATTGAATTGCAATTAAACAGGTTAAAACTTGGGAATTGAGAAGAAGAACTAGAAAATAATCCTTGAATTAAAGTGGAGCCCAAATAATAGTAACCAGCTGTAACCACCGTTATTTCATTCAATGCAGAAATCAAAACCAATTACCACTGTCTGATCAATTTTTTTTTAATGCACCTATCTTATTTTTGCTTTTTTTTTAATGTATAGACAGTATTGAATTAATATTTAAAGCATAGGTGGCATAATGCACATTCAAAAAGACAGTTTATAATATACCCATTCTTTATTAGTAAAGTTCTTGAATCCACACTCATTTTTGAGACCTAATGTTTTGTTTGTTTGCAGTTCGTATCTTTGACCGTTGGGCTTGTAACCAGACTTGTTTCAATGCAGCAAGAGCTTGCAAGCCGTCATGTACACGATACAAAGATGACTTAAGTCGACAGAGGTCTATAAGTGATATGCCTGTTGCAGATCGTGACTTCTGTCAACCATACAAGTTTACAGCAATAGGCATGTGCAACTACTTTTAATAGACATAAAACATTTTTGTAGTTTTAGAACATTTTATCAATCTTAGTCACAACTTTTTCTTTGTTGATTTCATGTAATAGATGTTTTCTCTCTTTAAGTACATTCAATCTAGTTTTAGTGATCTTTTTAAATTAATGGTTTTCTCATTAGACATTTCATCTAATTGCAGTGGTCTGTTACATTTAAATGGTTTTCTCATGGTTCATTT